CTTAGTCAAAATTTAGGTCACAAAATACAACATACATGAGCCCATTCACAAAAAGAAAATTGTGGGGCTGGGAAGGTGGCTCAGTGGTAGAGCGCTTGCCTTGCATGCCTGAGGCCCTGGGTTCGATTCCTCAGCACCACATAAGCAAAAAGAAAAAAGCCAGAAGTGGTGCTGTGGCTCAAGTGGTAGAGCGCTAGCCTTGAGCTGAAGAGCTGAGGGATAGTGCCCAGGCCCAGAGTTCAGGCCCCATGACCGGACCCCCCAAAAAAAGAAAAGAAAATTGTAATCCTGTAAACCTAACTATTCAGGAGGTTGGGATCTTAGGATAGAAGTTTGAAGCCAGCCTGGGCAGATACATCTTAGAGAATGTGTTATCTGTAGTAGAACTGTTTACAACTTTCATGTTTTTCTTTGTTGTTGTTGATGTCTTCTGTTCTCAACATTTGCCAAATCTCTATCAGTGAAAATATATGCCTTTTATAATCATAGAGGTTTAAAAAAAAAAAATCATGGTAAACACTGGAGAGAGAAGGGAGAGAATTTTCTTTTGGCTCGACCTAGCCAGCCCTAGGTTTTTGTTTTCTTCCAAGAGTGTAAATACTGAAGAGTGAGAGAAAGCGTGTTATTATTCAAAAACAAATGTACTCTTTACCATATTTATGTAACTGTAACCCTTCTGTACATCACCTTTATAATAAAAAAAATTTTTTTTTAAGTTACATATACTGCAGGAGCCATAAGGGAAGCCTGAGAGCAACAGAGTGGGAACCTTCTAGAGAACTAGCTGATTAGGGCTGGGAATGTGGCTTAGTGGTAGAGTGCTTGCCTAGCATGCATGAGGCCCTGGGTTCGGTTCCTCAGTACCATATACACAGAAAAAGCCAGAAGTGGCGCTGTGGCTCAAGTGGTAGAGCATTAGCCTTGAACAAAAAGCAGCTCAGGGACAGTGCCCAGGCCCTGAGTTCAAGCCCCAGGACTGGGGAAGGAGTCTTGCCACGTTTATCCTGTTTCTTAGGCTCATTTTGTCTTTATAGAGCTCTTTATAGAGCTGGTTCACATCCGAAATGATCTGCCTGCCTACTTATATGCTTGTTGGTTACCTGTCTATGAGGGCAGCAGCCCTGTCTTGCTCTTTAAGACTTCCCATCTGGGAAGGGCAGTTCTTGGTTTGAAACTGGGACTTGCTCAGCCACCCAAGACTTTTGTCCTAAGGCTACCATACACCACGGAGAAAAAAATTGGGAATAACTGGATGTGACTCTAGAAACAGGCAGATAACGAGCTGATGGGGGTCAGGAATGAAAGTGGCAACCAGGCTGGGCCAGCATCAGCAACATTTAGTTACTGTTTACAGTTGTCATGGATGAGCCTGCTTTGTGCTCTGAATTTTGTATTTGAGGAAAATGAAGGTAGAAACAGTTACTCTTATGATCCCTCAACCCTGGCTTCTTTGTTTCCAACCATCCTGCTGCTGCTAGTCACTTCTGTCTTCCTAATCCAAGGCTTCAGCTTTCCTTTCTGTCTCTTTTCTTTTTTCATTGGTAATGAAGCTTGAACCAAGGGCCACACCTGGCTAGGCAGGTGCTCTACCACTGAAGACACACCTCCATCCCCAGTTTTTCTTTCTTGTATTCAAGTATTCTTCCAGAAGCCATTCTGCTTCACCTGCCATGACCAGGATTCAGGTCACTCCAGTTGGCAGCTCTCTGTCCGTGTATTATTTGATTTATCACAGTACATTGTCTATTCTTTTTGAAACCCCTTCTGTTGTGCATGTGAGTCCTTACTCACCTTTCCTGAGCTACTAAATGTGGTTCTGTCTTTGGAGAGCTTTCCCTACTCACAGCCACCCTCTTGAGGATCTCATCCTATAGCATGCCATTCAAGAGCTATGTCCTGCTGCCCACCGTGATGCACACCTGTAATCCCGGGTGTGGAGTTACCTGGGAGAACAATCAAGTTCCGGGCTTCCAAGCCTTGGGCTACATAGGGAGAGCCTCTTTCTCTCAAAAAAAGGAAAAGGTTGGACATGATAGCATATGACTATAATCCAAGCTACTCAAGAGGCAGAGATTGGGAGGATTCTGATTTGAAGCCAGCCTTGGCGAAAAGTTCCTAAGATCCTATCACAACAGAAAAAGCTGGACATAGTGGTGCATGCCTGTCATCACGGCAATGGCAGAAAGTGTAATAAGGAGGATCTTGGTCCAGGATGGCCTAAGCAAAAAAGGAAGACACTAGCTCAGTAATAAAGCAAAAAAGATTGGGAATGTGGCTCAAGTGGGTAGAGCTCCTGCTTAGTAAGCGTGAGGCCCTGTACCATTCCAGTACCACCACCACCAGAAAAAGAGCTATATTAAATTCTTTTTTTTTTTGGTCCGGTTGTGGGGTCTGAACTCTGGGCCTGGGCGCTGTCCCTCAGCTCTTCAGCTCAAGGCTAGCACTCTACCGCTTGAGCCACAGCGCCACTTCCAGCTTTTTTCTTATGTGGTGCTGAGGAATCGAACCCAGGACCTCGAGCATGCAAGGCAAGCACTCTACCACTGAGCCACCTTCCCAGCCCCCTTAAATTCTTTATTTCTGCCTCATCCTCTGAACTCTCAACTCACATCTCCATGTGTCTGTAGGCCTCTCCAGGTGACTATCCAAAAGGAACTTCATGCTTGACATGTCCAAAACTAGGTCCTTACCTTCTAAATGCCCTCTACCTTCAGGCTTTTACAATTCAGAAAATGACAATTCTACCTTCCCAGCTGCTCAGACCCAAATCCTGGGAGTCCTCCATTCCTATTACTGTTATTATTATAATAAACGTAATGTACAGAGGGGTAATACTTACAGAATTCAGGTGTTAAGTACATTTCTTTTTGGACAGCATCCCTTTTCCCTCCCTCCCTCCCAGTTTTTCCCTCCCGTCTCCATCCACAGGTTGTATAGTTCATTTTCAACAGTAGTGTCTAGTGAGTAGCACTACTGCATTTGTTCACCTTGTCCCTCCGTTTCCGTGCTCCCTTTACTCTCCCAAAGATAGATAAACAAAACAGCAAGAAAACAAAAACAGCAACAAAGACAAAAATCTCTTATTTCCATTTCCTGGAGTTCATTTGATAAATACTGTATATGATCAGAGGCACAGAGGCATTGTGCCTTTGTGTTCCTCCCCTTAGAGTATTTTCCCTTAGTCTTACTGTGTGTGAATGCCTAGAGTCTTGTATAATTGATCATGTCCTGGTGTATTTTAGATCTAGCTTCTGTATATGAGAGAAAACGTGCTGTTTGTACTTATGTCCATCCATTTCCCTGCAGTTCCACTCCTGTTTGTTTTTGTTTTTGGTCAGTCATGGGACTTGAACTCTGGGTCTGGAACTGTCTCTGAGCAATGCAAGTCAAGGCAAGCGCTCTACCGCTTAAGCCCCAGCACCACATCTGGTTTTCTGGTGGTTAATTGGAGATGAGTCTCACAGACTTTCCTGCCTGGGCTGACTTTGAACTGTGATCCTCAGATCGCAGCCCTCTGAGTAATTAGGACTACAGGCGTGAGCCACCAGCACCTAGCTCCACTCCTCTTTTTAAATCTCACTTCTAATCCATCAGCAAATCTTTTTCTTTTTCTTTTTCCAGTCCTGGGGATTGAACTCAGCCTGGGCACTGTCCTTTCTTTTGCTCAAGGCTAGCACTCTACCACTTGGGCCACAATGCCACTTCTAGCTTTTACTGTGTATGTGGTATTGAGGAATCGAACCTAGGGCTTCATGCATGCTGGGTAAGCATTCTACCACTAAGCCACATACCCAGCCCATCAGCAAATCTTGTGGGCACCACTTGGTAGAATCTGACCCCATCTGTACCTCCATGTTTCCTCTCTGACCCAAGTCATCACTGGGATTAATACAACATCCTCTTCACAGGTTCTACTGTCCTCCTATGTTCATTCACAACACTCCTCCCATATGGTTCTATGAAAATATGAGTCACATTATGTTATTTTTAGCAGCTCCACTGTTGGAATAAGCCTCAGTTTATACATGTGCTATGTGTGCTGGGCCTGGTCCCACCATGTGTATGATCCCCTCTGACCTCCCCCTCTTTACTCTGGCTACACTGCCCTTCATACTGCTCTTTAACAGGCAGCCTCTCCCCTCCAGGCGTTGGCCTTTGATATTCATCCTGGAAACCTTCTTCCCCAATAATTCTCAGGGTTCATCTCCTTACTTCTTCCTAGGTCTTTGTTCTTAATCTACCTTCTCAGGTGTCTCCCCTTTCCTGGAGTCATTTTGGCCCTTCTTTCCCACCTTCCCTACCCTCCTCTCCTGCTGTATTTTTTTTTTAGTCCACCTCTAATGATTAGTACTTAAATTGTTGATGTTATTTCAGTTGTTGATACCCTCAAGGAGACTATAGACTCCATTAGTGCAGGTACTTTTGTCCACTACTATAGCCCTCTAGAGTCCTAGAATAGCCTTTGTCATGTAGTAAGTGTTCAGTAAATATCTGATGAGTGGCTGTATTATGAAGTTGAATGGAGGGATCATTTATGTTTGTATGGGGCTTTGCATGGGATAGAAAGAGCACGTTTCTGCCAGCTTGGAACATTTGCAGGCTCCAAGTGAGTGAGCAGGAAACAATCTGTGAGGGGGAAGGAGTTGTTTGTTTGTTTTTGTCGGTTGTGGGGCTTAAACTCTGGGCCTGGGCGCTGTCCCTCAGTTCTTCATCTACTACTCTACCACTTGAGCCACAGTGCCACTTCCACCTTTTTCTGTTTATGTGGTGCGAGGAATCGAACCCAGGGCCTCACGCATGCAGGCAGGCACTCTACCACTGAATGCCGAATGCCCTAGAGTGCAAGGCCCGTGTGCTGTCTGCTCATATTTCAGAGGCTCTAGAAGAACTTTCTGGATAGGCCAGCATTTACTTACTTTGGGTCCAGTCTCTGTTTGTTCTAAGGCCCATCCTCAAGGTGTTGTCTCTACCATTTACTTTTTTTTTTTTTCCTCCTCCAGGTGCCAAGAGTTTGCAGCCTCTTGGAGGAAGACAAGGTCAAGGTAAAAGAGCAGTAAGATCCTGTCTAGATTGGGATTTCCCAACTTAAAGTCTTTGGAAAATCCTCAAAGAAGTGTAGGGTGTTGAAAGTGTTGGCCACTAGACAGAGTAAAAGCCCAGGGGAATTGTGCTCCCTGGACAGAGTCCATCACTGAGGATAGGGGACCGCTTCGCGTCACCACACGTGGCCATGCCACCTTGAGTTCGAGTGCCTTAGTTTACATTCTGTTGTCACACAGAACAATTGAGACTGGGTGATTTATAAAGAAAAGAAGTTTTTTTAGGCTTGTGGTTTCAGAGACTGGGAAAGTCCAAAATCACATGGCTCTGTCTTGTATGGGTTCTTGCACTGTGGCATAATATGGAGGGAATGTGGAAGGGAGCCGAGAAAACAGGGAGAGGCTGGATTGGCTTACTTAGAACTGAACCCTCTCCCTCGGTGACCCCATCGCCTCTGAAAGTCCCCACAGTACCAGTCTGATTCTAGCACAGTTTCAGGAGAAAACACATTGAAGCCACAACACCCAGAAAAACAGTCGTTCCCTTGGGGAGACAGTTGGCTGGGACCCACAGGATGCCCTTCCGTCTCTGCCTTCCAAAGGCTTCCTTTCTCACCTTCTCCAGAGCCTCGGCCTGGCCCACTGAAGATAGAAAATGTCAGGGAGTCCAGGACTTTCTTTTTCCCTTAGCAAGGACAGTTTAGTAAAACTCCTCAACAAAGAGTGTATGTGTGCTCATGCGTTGACATTTTTGGAAAAGGGGCAGTTTTCAAAATGGGTCTAGCCTTGGACCAAACAATTCTAATTTACACAGTTTTTCCTATGAAGATAATCAACATGGGGCTGGGAAGATGGCTCGGTGGTAGAGTGCTTGCCTTGCATTCATGAGGCCCTGGGTTCGATTCTTCAGCATCACATAAGCAGAAAAACCTGGAAGTAGCACTGTGGCTCAGGTGGTAGAGAACTAGCCTTGAGCTGAAGAGCTGAGGGCCAGTGCCCAGGGCCAGAGTTCAGATCCCACAACTGACAAAAAATAAATAAAATAATCAACATTTGTGTGAAGGCTTGTGAACAAGGATATTTATAAGTTCACTGCTTGTAAAGGAAACTGTTTGAAAGCCCAGCAAGAAGAAATTGTTTAAAATTTACATGTGCCATACAAGGGTTATGGCAGGCAGTAGACTGATGTAGGCACAACTTACTGAGAAAGAGAATTGGATGAGTGGTTTTTGAATGAAGAAAATTAGAAAAATCTTGTAAAACATGCAAGAGAACTCAGCCTGGGGTGTTGAAAACAACCAGTTTCTTAACCAGCTTGGGAACTGGTGATCTCCTGAAGCCTGTTTCCTGCCTATAGGGCAGGCCCCGACCTGTGGTAAAATCGAGAGGGTTTGGTGAGATTGACATATCCAAAAGCAGAAGCTTTAGGACAGCTCCCCATGTGACATGTGGCATGTGACGTGTGCTCAGCAGCTGGGGTCTGTGTGGGCTGAGGACCTAGAGGATTTGGGTCTGTGGAAAAGCCTAGAAACGATGTTTGGTGTGCCTTGGCTTGGGATTGGTAGAAACATGAATAATTTTCAATATTTTCCTATTTTCTACAGGGAATTCATATTCTATCATGATGATGTTCTTTTTGTTGTTGTTCTTGTTCTTGGTCATGGGGCTTTGAACTCTAGCTCCGGGCGCTGTCCCTGAGCTCTTCAGCTCAAGGCGAGCGCGCTACCACTTAAGCCACAGTGCCACTTCCAATTTTCTGAATGGTTTATTAGAGATAAGAGTCTCAGGGCCTTTCCTGCCCGATCTGGCTTTGAACTGAGATCCTCAGATCTCAGCCTCTTGAGTAGCTAGGATGACAGGTGTGACCCAACATGATGGTATCCTTTCTTTTAGAAAATAGCTATTGGAATGGTTGTTTTTGTGTTTTGTTTTTAACTAGCTATTGTACATTTGCCTTGAGCAAGGAAACCAGTTGTGTAACCTCTGGGTAGAGCTCTGTAGGACTAGAGGAACAGAGGGAATAGAAGGTGGGGGGAAAAAAAAGATCAAGCTGGCCCAAAGAGGTGTGCATTTAGAGGTGATGCTGGATCTACAGAAAGCGTGCAGATCCCTCCCCAGCACCACCAATGGTCCATCTTCAGAGAGCTTCTAATGATGAGTCTGGTGACCTAAGGATGGTCTGTCCCAGTTGGACTTCTGAAGTGGGAGCTCTGGGCTCCATTTTGTGTTCTGGCCAGTGGGATGAATGGAGGAGGTGCTGAGGATTGATCCCAGGTTTTTGTTTTGTAGATGCTAGGCAAACGCTCTTGTACTTCAGCCATGCCCTTAGCGCTTTTTGCTTGCTTGTTTGAGGATTGTTTTTGTTTGTTTTTGTCAGTTGTGGGGCTTGAACTCTGGCCTGCAGCTCTTCAACTCAAGGCTAGCACTCTGCCACTTGAGCCACAGTTGCCACTTCTAGTTTTCTGGTGCTTTATTGGAGATAAAGAGTCTCATGGATTTTCCTGCCTGGGCTGGCTTTGAACCGCTATCTCAGCCTCCTGAGTAGCTAGGATTACAGGGGTGAGCCACTGTGCCTGGCTTGGGGGTTGTTTTTGAGGTAAGGTCAGACTGGCCTCAAACTCATCATCCTTCTGCCTCTACCTTTTATCCTCTTCCACTGCCACCTCTATCTGGTATTACAGGGGTGTGCGTGGGGGTGTGCATGGGCACATGCGTGCGTGTGTGTGTGTGTGTGTGTGTGTGTGTGTGTGTGTGTGTGTGTGTGTACACCACCATGCCTGGCCAGCTGCTTGACTTATGGCCTGGTCTTGGGAATCATATAACATCACTTCCAAGTTATAAACCTGCCAGAATTCAGGAGAAAAGACACAGATCTGCCTCTAGATGGGAGAAGTGTCAGAGAATGGGCAACCATATATTTGTTTGTTTGTTTGTTTACTATTTTGCCAGTCCTTGGGTTTGAATTAAGGTCCTGGGCACTGTCCCCGAGCTTCTTTTTGCTCAAGGCTAGCATTCTACCACTTGAGCCACAGTACCACGTGCAGCTTTTTCTGTTTCTGTAATACTGAGGAATGGAACCCAGGGCTTCATGCATGCTAGGCAAGCACTCTACCTCTAAGCCACATTCCCAGCCCTGCAACCATATTTTAAATTCACTACACCCCCTCTGAGCTCAGCCTCCCAGGACACTCCCTGGATTCCCTTGTCTCCATTTCCTGGCCCTAGTCCAATCTGTTTTTTCTAAACACACATCCTTCTAAGAACTCCTCTGGCCAGTGATTGCCTAAAGCAAGAGAAAAGCATAATTCCTACATGCTTTTTCAAGAAGACAATAGGAAAGACTAGTTTGAGGGTGGCTGGTGAGGGTTGCCATTGTTGGCATTCACAGACTGGAGGAGGGGGCACATGGAGGCTGAGTCTCAGCCAGGGACAGGGCAGGCAGAGCCTCATGACCCACGCTTTCCTCTGGCCTACCCTGCAGGGCTATGGCCCCTCAGCCATGCTAAGTACCATCCTAACTCACAGGGAAGACACTGAAAGCAAAGAAGCAGAAATGTTGGCCATCTTGATGGAAATACTTTGATAGCCCTCCTCCCTTATCCATGCTTCTTTAAGGGAGGGGCATAAAACCCAGCTAACCTTTTGAGTAGTGTGGCTTCTATCAGTTTCACTTGTCCTCTTCCAGGCCACACCACCCTGGAGTCCTTTAACCCAGATGAGGCCCCCGTGCATCCTTGTCTAGTGAGGAGGCCCCAGCCACGTCTAGCTCATTCTTGCAAAGCAGGTGTGCAGGGACACTGCCCCAAATCCCAGCCTGCAATCCAGCCCACTCACTGTGGGTGGTGGAGGTCCCAGGGCTGGGGAAGCTTGCTCAGGCCTCTCTGCACAGCCCCTCCCACAGCAAAGAGAGGTTCAGGATCCATGTTCCTGGAAGAGCAGATGGGGCTTCTGTGAGCACAACACTTGTGTGTGAACCTGGGTCTGGTCTTATCTGGTCTAAGAGACCTGAAGTGTGACCAGAATATAATGGAAGTCAGCCATTGCTAGGAAGGTTGCCACCAACCTCACAGAGAGTTAGGGAAGTTTTAGTTTGGGTTGGGTTGGGGTTTTTTTGTTTTGTTTTGTTTTGTTTTTGTCAGTCATGGGGCTTGAACTCTGGACTGGCTGCTGTGCCTCAGCTCTTCAGCTCGAGGCAAGTATTCTACGACTTGAGCCACAGTACCACTTCTGGGTTTCTGGTGGTTTGTTGGAGATAAGTCTCACAGACTTTCCCGCCTGGTCTGGCTTTGAACCGTGATTCTCAGATCTCAGCCTTCTGAGTAGCTAGGATTATAGGCATAAACTACCGGCACCTGGCTGAGTCATCTAAATAGAGCCAAGCCCAATGTGTACCTCAGCAAGATGTTGCAAGTTCTTAAGAGTATTAGGCATAGACTGGATGCCAGAGCTTGCTGTTTCCCGTGAACACCAACTACCTGAGTCAGCCTTCCCTCCACACCTTCTCAGTGCCTTAACATTGCCTCTGGCCTCAGTGATCGCCCTAGGGAAGCCCAGCTGCCACATCTGCATAAGTGGCTTTCTGGAGCTGTGCTGAGTGATCCACTTCCCTGGGATGGGGTGGGCAGGGCCTCTTTCCCATTATATGCCTTGACACACTGCTGGCCAGCCGCTTTCAACAGAAGTGCTGCGCAAGAAACCCATTACAACACCTCTGCCTGTGCAACCTGTCTCACACGAGTGAAGAAGCGTCCTCCCCTCCAGTATCCATCCCACTGCATATGGCCTTGGTCAGGGCTGCCCAAGGCCCTTGAGTGGACCTGCTCATCCATGCCTTTCCTTCCCCAACTCACATTACTGTCATCTGAAGTATTTTTTAAAAATCCTGATGGAAGCTGGCGACAGTGGCTCATGCCTGTAATCCCAGGTACCCAGATACCCAGGAGGCTGAAATTCTGAGGATTGCAGTTCCAAGTCAGCCCCGCAGGAAAGTCCATGAGACTCTTATCTCCAATTAACCACCAGAAAACCAGAAGTGTCGTTGTGGCTTAAAATGATAGAGTGATAGTCTTGAGCAGAAAAGCTCAGGGACAGTGCGCAGGCCCTGAGTTCAAGCCCCATGACTAACTGAAAAAACCCAAGCCAGATACCAGTGGCTCATGCCTGTAATCCTAGGTACTCAGGAGGCTGAGCTCTGAGGATCATGGTTCAAAGCCAACCCAGGCAGGAAAGTCCATGAGACTCTTTATCTCCAATAAACCACCAGAAAGCTGGAAGTGGTGCTGTGGCTCAAGTGGTAGAGCATTGGCTTTGAGCTGAAGAGCTGAGGGACAGCACCCAGGCCCAGAGTTTAAGCCCCACAACCAAGCAAAAAAATACCCCCAAAAACCCTGATGGCTGACGTCACCCCCCCACACCCAAAGATGCTGACCAAATTGATGTGGGTTTCAAAGAAAAAAAATTAATAAAAAATATTTTTTCTGGGTCTGGTCATGGGCCCTGAACTCTGGGCCTGAATGCTGTCCCTCAGCTCAAGGCTAGCACTCTACCACTTGAGCCACAGTGCCACTTCCAGCTTTTTTCTTTTTGCTTATATGGTGCTGAGGAATTGAACCCAGGCCTCATGCATGCAAGGCAAGCACTCTACCACTGAGCCATCTTCCCAGCCCTAAAATTTTTATCAAAGGAAAATACACATGTAAAAAATGTTTTAAAGCACAATCATCACATTTTTCACAAAGTGAATTTAACCCAATAGCCAGCATCCAGATCAAGAAACAGAACATCACTAGTATCCCAGGTGTCCACTTTCCATCACTACCAGGCTCCAAAGGCTCACCTGTAGTATAACTGGGTTTTTGCCTGCCCTCAAAATGGAGCCATATAGAATCTATCCTTTTGTCTGGCTTCTTCCACTGAACGTTTTATTTGTGGGATGATTTATTTAAGTTGTTGCTTGTAGTTTTTGTGGTCTGCTTAGTCTCATGCTATAGGACATTCTGTAGTCTATTCTGCTGGTGGGGGGGGGGGGCTGATGTTTCTTCCACTGATTATTGTTCTTTCCAGATGGGTGTTTTTATGACCGCTGCTACTATGAAAGTTCTGGTGTGTGTCTTTGAGAGCACATGTATGTGATTCTGTTGAGTACCTAGTTAAAAGTGGAATTGCTAGGCAATTCAGCATTAGTATCTTAGGTCAAGAAATTTTACAAAGTACTGCGCCAGTTTATAGTCCCTGCAGTGATGTGTAAGTGTTCAAGTTGCCTCAAATCTTTGTTAACAATTGGTATTTTCTTTTCTTTTTGTCTTAATATTGGCCTTTCCTGTGGGTGTGTCATAGTGTCATAATTACTGTGTGACCTTCATTTGTATTTCTCTGGTGACTAATATAGTTGAGCACTTATCCATGTGTTTATTAGCTATTTAGATCCCCCCACCCCCACCCAAGGTATGAGGTGAACTATTTGGATGCAAGCATTTTCTTTAAAGCTCCTTAGGTAATTCTCATATCTAGCCAAAGTTAAAAAAAATTGAACTAAACTGAACTAATATTTGCCTTTTTTTCTTGATTTTTCTGTCCTTGAACTTAGAGCAGTTTAGATAGGGGCTCTCATAGACTTGAGCAGAGATAATCTTCACACATACACATCCCCAATACACATAAAGACACATCTCTCCAAAAGAAGCAAGAGACCATAGCTGAGAGTTGGGACCCTTGAAGAATGCAGCTTCAGAAGGATCCAGAGAGAGAGCCTGCAGTGCCCACAGCTGCCACAGAAATTTGCTGGCTACAAAAATATGGCCCCTTGGGCTGGGAAGGTGGCTCAGTGGTAGAGCGCTTGCCTTGCATGCCTGAGGCCCTGGGTTCGATTCCTCAGCACCACATAAGCAAAAAGAAAAAAGCCGGAAGTGGCGCTGTGGCTCACGTTGTAGAGTGCTAGCCTTGAGCTGAAGAGCTGAGGGACAGCACCCAGGCCCAGAGTTCAGGCCCCACGACTGGACCCCCCCAAAAAAAAAAATATGGCCCCTTGCTGGTTCCTGTGGACCTCCAGGCAATCATGTGGAGGAAGTAGAGGGCTGCCTGCCAGGTACTTCCCAGTGACTGGGCCTATGTGGAGGGGACCCAGCTCATGTGGGAGTTATGGGCAAGCTAGGGACAGTAGAACATACTCCTGGACAGGCCTGAGGGATGTCTGCTGTCTGTGACTTTTATTCCTATGTGGAAGCATGAAGAGAGGCTGCTGGGTTTCTCCCATGTAAGTGCAGGCCTGGCCAGGCCTGCCCCACGTGGGCCCATGGTATCACTCAGGCCACGTGGAGTTGGTGAGGAGGAGCTGTGTGTGCTGAGTCTGGAATTGGATCCCTCACCTGAAGCTAGGATATTTGTCCCTGGACTGGACAGGATGTGCCCTTGGTGCCCAATGCTGAGTGGGAGGGGACGCTGTCATGGAACAGTGCCTCCTCCATGCATTTCCAGTTTGACCATTTAGAACCAAGCACCTGTGGTTCACACCTGTAATACTAGCTACTCAAAAAGCTGAGCTCTGAGGATTACAGTTCAACGCCAAGAAGTAGAACAGTAACTCTGAACAGAAAAGCTCAGGGATAGCAACCAGGCCCTGACATTAAGCCCAGGAGTAATACACACACATACACACACACACACACACACACACACACAAAACCTTGACAATTTGTGGTCTTGGAGTACCAGGCTACTCTAGGTTGTGTCTTACATGTCTAATGGCTGCAGGTCCATCTTAGAAACTGCTTTGAGTGTAGCATACTTGTGTATAATAGTCCAAGTGAAGATTTGGAGGGGAGGGGGCTTCTCTCTAACCCAAATGGCATCCTGTACCAGCCAGTGACAAGAGTGCTGGTTGGACCTGAAATAACAGGACCTCCCTCCCCCCAACCCAGCCCCACTGCCCATTGATAACTCTGTCTTCTCCATGGTGACCACCTGAGTCCATGATGAAGAAAGGGATTCCTTTCACTAACTCTGCATCCCAGCTTCCCCTTTGCTTCAGCGCTCCCATTTAGCAATCATGACTATCTATTCTGTCCTCCTGGGTCTTGTGAGTTCTCCCGCTTTGCAGCCTTCTATGTGCTCCTGTCTCTATTGTTGGTGCCATGCCTCTCTCCCTGGCCTTCCTCATGAGGTTCTACCATGCTGTCTGCTGCTCACAGCCAAGGCTCGTCTGCTCGTCAGCCACTCACTTATTTAGCTTACTCCTGCTAACTACACATTCTACCACTGACCTGCACCCCAGAAACTTAAAACTTAAGTCCTCTCTGTAGAGGGGAGGTCAGAATACAGCTTAAGAGGCAACTTAGTAAGGTAGCAGAGTATTTTTGTGGGAGAGAGTGAGCCCAGAGAAAGTTCCCCAGGGCTCTCTAGATGTGGCATAGTACGTGCGTGCGTGTGTGTGTGCGCGCGCGCGTGCACGCAATGTGTGCAGAGGTATATGTGTTTGTGTTTGAGTCTCCTCACCTTTGGCTCCTGACTCCTCCTGTGGAGCCAGGTCGCCCCAGCTTTAGGCTTCAGTCCTTTGAGTGTTTCTAATGGCTGATTGCACTCTGGTACACCCCACTGGTTATGCTTCTCAAAAAAGGCCAATTTCTGTTGTATATCTAAAAATGTGCTATCCAGAGTGGACCAGTAATACAAGACCAGGGCTGAAGAGAAAAGTAAGGGCCTCTCACTCCCTCACAGATGCAGCCTTTCTTGGCTATTGCTCTGGACTCTCTTTAAGTCTGTTGATCTGGGCTAGGCTCAGCTTCTTGGATGTGGTACCTGGGCCTCATCTGGGGCCTAGCCTTTAGATCCTGCTTCTCCAGCCTGTGATAGGGGAAGGTCTACCTCTGGATAAGAAAGAAGTATGGGTCGCTCCCACAGCCTCTGACTCCTGCTCCACCCTTGGTAGTTCAGCACCTTCCTCTTCGTTCTTCCTTTGAGAAGTGTGCCACTTCCTCACTCCAGGCCCTCCTCTGGACCACACAGTGACAAGTCAGCAGGATTGAGCCAAACACCCAGAAGTCATGACCTCTGTCGTGGAAGTCTTTTGGATCCTGGACGCTGTCATTCCTCTGCTGTCTCATAGGCCTGAACCCAGAGCCAAGCCATTGTTATCACGCCCTTTGAAGATTCCAGCTATGACCTCCTTCTCTAGCTTTGCCACCTGATCTGGGGGCCAAGGCATCACATTGACAGAGAGGTAAGCAAGAGGCCGCAGGCATGGAGATGACTGAAGTTCATGTTTGTGCCTACAAACATTAGAGACAGTCCTTCATTTGCTTCCAAATCCAGCCAGACACACACCCTTGATTGTGAGGACTCCACAGAAAAGTTTATTTAATGTTGCAGCCAGGAGGGAGCTTTACAGCCCAGTCCCAAGAAGATTATCTTTTTATTGCAGTTCTGATTAATGATTGATCAAAAACTGATACTAGACACACTAAAATACAAATATGCCATGAGATTAGGTGAGATTTACATCTGCCAGGCTGATTTGGGGACCTGTCCACCTGCTCTCTGCAAGATCAAACTGGGGCAAGGGTGCATGCCCCCATAGGGCTTTCACACCTACACACACACCCCTATAGGGAACACACACACACACACACACACACACCCGGGGGGATGAAAGGAGCGTCCTCAGATCTTTTTAGAATTAGGCTACAAAGGGCAAGGGTGCATGCCCCCATAGGGCTTTCACACCTACACACACCCCTATAGGGAACACACACACACACACACACACACACACACACACACACACACACACACACACACACACACACACACACACACACACACACACACACACACACACACACACACACACACACACACACACACACACACACACACACACACACACACACACACACCCAGGGGGATGAAAGGAGCGTCCTCAGATCTTTTTAGAATTAGGCTACAAATTGCTACAAATGAAACAATGGGCAGAGGAAAAGGATTTAAGGGCTTAGTAGAATTTTTCTTTCATGTTTTTGTTTCTGTGAAGGCTGGTTACACATTAGCACATTACAGGGAAATTAGTGGCCTGAGGAAGGAAGAAGCTGTGTGAATATAGCACCCAGGGTTTCCTAGGGTTCTCTACTTCCTAGGAACTGCAGGGGAAACTGAGCAAAGAAGTGCACATTTGCAAGCACTTGTTCTGCAAAGTGCCTTGGTGCAAGATCACACCATGCCTCTGGTGTTGATGGTCTCTTAGGCCAAGACTTAACCTGTTGGGGTCCACAGGCCATGTCAGAATCCCTAAAGGGGTCTAACCCAGGACCTCAGAGACCACTCTCCCCAACATACAAACACAGCGGGTTTTTCTCACTCCTGCCTTGCGAGCCTCCCAGGAAGGGCTGCTGGCTGAGCCATTCCTTCCTGCCTTGGATCATCTCTGGGCCTAGGCACCAGGGAATCGGAAAATTGCCAGAGCCTCTTCTGCATTGACACTGGAAACTGAAACTGGAAATCACAGCCTCCCAGCCCTAGGTGCCAAGATTTCTTTTCATGGGGGGTCTGGGGGGATCCTGGGGAGAAAGAAGCTACTCTCAGTGAGGGTGGGGGGTATCCAGGCTACAGCCTGCCATGCAGGAGCTGTGGTGCTGCAAGGCAGGCCCGCTAGCTGTCCACCCTTTGGGGGGGGGGGGGTTCCTCTCTAGGAAAAGTTTGTTTAATGTTCTTGCCAGTGTACATTAGGAAAGGACTGGGCTTTTGGTTAGTTTAGACAATGCATTTTATAAACTACTGCCTTCACCCCGTTGGCTTGCCTGTCCCCCATAATGAAGACTTTTTTTTTCCCACATAGTTTCAATTTAACTAGGAATCTAGCTCTACCACTGCCCCAGGCACTGCTTTGGGGCAACTTGGACTGAACCTCTGGAATGTGGGGAGGAACTAAGTGGAAGAGAGCCAGAAACTGCCCCACCTGCTAACTCCACACTGTCCTTCACCTCACCTACCCTGTTACTTACTCAGCTCCTTAGATTAAAACCTCTCAGGTCACACTCTCCCATAGCCCCATATCTGCCAGGTATCTGTGTGAGTATTTGCCCAATGTGGGCCTTCCTTCACCAAACTAAACTTCCAGGAGGCCCCAGATCCTTCTTCAGCGCCAGGATACAAACGCTATAGATACAAACAACAACAATTGTCCTATGAGTGACCACAGACCAGAAGATCCAAGTGAAGAACAGTGCTCGGCAAGGGGTCTGGATCTGGGGGTGCCAGTGTCTGGATCTATCCCAGACCAGCCAAGTCTTCTCCTTTGTGGATGCTGTGGATAGATTACCCAAGCTCTGCTGTCCACAGTTCCCAGCCCCCTTTGTAAGGGCTGAGGGCTTAGTAGGGCAGATGCCAGTAAGGGTAGGCAGCTCCCATGGTGCTCCCTCCAGAGCCCTGGCTTTACCTTCCTTCCTGCCCAGGTGGAGTTATAAAACCTTTTCCAGATAGTTAAGGGACATTTGACTCCTTGTGCCACTAAGAAAGGCCACTTTCTGCCTGTGGATTAGAAGAGGACAAGCTGGTAGGGGGCAGGGAGGAAACAGAGGCAGATGGGGCAGATGAGATGCTGGCTGAGCAAGGAACCCTGACTTCAGACCACACACTTTTTTTATTTGGCCAGTCCTGGGATATGAACTCAGGACCTGCACACTGTCCTTGAGCTTCTTTTGCCCAAGGCTAATACTCTACCACTTGAGCCACAGCTCCACTTCCACTTTTTTCTGTGTATGTAGTACTGAGGCATTGAACCCAAGGGCTTCATGCATGCTAGGCAAGCACTCTACCACTGAGCCACCTTCCCAGCCCCATTCCTCACACTCGTCAGCAGCTCCGGCCCTCTTGCTTGCCTATGAAAGGAGCTTGGTCTTGTGTCTGCACCTTGAAGGGCAACTTTGGAATCGAGCCTTCTGAGATGTAAAAAACAAAAACAAAACCCCAACACTGATTCACTGTTGTGTAACCTCGCATCAGTAACTGAATCTTCCTTGTTCTTTTCCTCTTCGGTAAAGTGGGAGCCATTACAGTGAATTCTATGATGGAATTCATGTCCCTGACATAGGAGAGCACCTGTCATCAGTAGGTATTGTTACTTGAGCCGGGGTGGCTACAAAGATCTCCTTTAGCCACCACCCCCCCAACCAATGGAGCCATACAAATATGAGAGACCCCCTTACATGTTAATTCAGAGCTGCGGACACGCAGCTTTCCTCTCACATTTATCTGGGGTGGGACCACAGTTTTACTTACTGAATGTTAAGCTTAAAGATGCACCAAAGGGAGGTGACAAACTGAAACCACCAACCGTTTGAGCTGTCGTCTGCACCTAAGTGGAGGCCGGTGCAGATGGTGTGAGCCCAACTTCCTCCCTCCCTGCCTGCGTCTTCCTCACACCAGCCAGCTTCCCAAGGCTACAGGAAGTGAGGCCAGGAACAGGGGTGGGAGGGGTGAGTGCAGAGGGGAGGCCAGGGTGAGGACAGAAGCCTTCGAGGTCCTTGCTAGGCCCTGAGCTTCTGGGCATCCAGTCTTGCCCAAGACTAGTCTATAGCAGACTCTTGCCCCTTCCCACTCCCACCCCGCCCCCGCCCCTGGGTGGCCCTTCTCTCTTGAGATTGTGAGCCATTACTGTCAGACAGAATCCAGGGAGAGGTCTTGGCAAGGAGAAGAGCTGTCTTTTCTCAGAGGAAATGCACTTGTGGTTTTGAGATGTTCATATTTCACATCTGTGGTTGGTGTTTCCCAGGGTTCTCAGAGGTGAATGCAGGGTCAACCTCATGTCGCCAAATAAGGCTCCCAGTGACCTTAACAACAGGTCTCACTGCCCCATTGGTGGCCACTGCTGCTGCCGGCTTAATGCGGCCTCCAGAAGGCAGCCCTGAAGTTGGTCTCAGCTTCCACATAAGCAAAGGCCAAGTTCCTCTGTCAAAAATCATTGCCTTTGGAAGGGACCACAGAGAGGGCGAACGTTCTGGACAAAGGTGGATGAGGCGGGGCTCAGGCAGGGCTGCCTGGGTCAGAGTCCACCTGCCCAGTACCCTGAGCCCAGCTTGCCAGGATGAGCCCTTCACCCCCATTTCCCTGCTGTCAACCACAGTCATGCTCATTTCAGTTCCGCTCATTCTGCTTCCACACCAGGAAGTCAGCTAAGTTCCTTCCAGATGTTGCATCTTTAAGCTTTCCACAGCCTTTGGCAGCCAGTTAACCCTATTTCAAGGATCAGGAAACTGAGGCTAAAGGAAGTCAGACTAACCCAAAGTCACACAACCAATAAGTCATGCAACCATATTTTAAACCCAGTTTCAATGGGGGCGGGGGTCCAAATCCTGTGCCGTAAGCACTGCACTGATGCCACGCAAAGGCTATGGCTGAGGTTGGGATGCGGATCGCATGGTGTGGAGTCATGCATGCCTGAGGACCTAGTATACAGTGGTGCAGTTGCACACCTGTTGAACGGCAACCATTGCAGTGCACAGCCCCCAGCCCCAGGCTTGTTTCACAGCACCTCGCACATTCTCCTGCCACAGAGCATACTGCTCAAACATTGAGGTTTGCAGACCAGACTTGGCTGTGGCCTTTGTATTTGGTTTCCACTTCCTCTTTCTGGACCTCTTCCCCTCCTCACACAACTGTATATCACCAACCTGAGGAGACCAGAGAGGAACCTCACCGCAGCTACTGAGGCCCCCAGCCTGTGGGTGTTGGAGGGGCAGGGCTGGCTGGGCCAGAAGATCAAGCTTCTAGGTCAAAGGATGAGTGTTCGTTCCAGCACAAAGGCAGGCATGTTAATCTCCTCCACTCAGAACACTGCTTAGGGAGCCACAGTATTCTTGCCCTGACGAGCATTTTCAGGATTAAAAGTATATAAGTGGCTGGGCGGCAAGTGGCTCATGCCTGTAATCCTAGCTACTCAGGAGGCTCAGGTCTGAGGTTTGCTGTTCAAAGCCAGCCCAGGTAGGAAAGTCCATGAGACCCCTATCTCCAGTAAACAAAGGAGGGTGGGAGAAGGAAAGGAAAAGGTGACAAACCCCACTGGAAATGGAAGTATGGTTTAAGTGGTAAAGCACTAGTCTTGAGCAAAAGAATCTCAGGGACAGTGCCTAGGCCCTGAGTTCAAGCCCCAGGGTTGGCAACCCCACCCCCACTCCCCAAAAAATATACAAGTGATCTGGTAAAGGCACACTAACTCAGAAGAACTACTCCTCAGAATCTGTTCTTGACACACTGTGACCCCTGTGCACCAACACCAGAGGGTGTCCAAATGTCCATCAACAGCAGAGATCATTACTGCATTCCCACAGCGGAAATAGGAGCCATGCAATTTATGGTGGATGCACTATTGGTCTAATACTATAATAACAAATGACTCTTAGCAATATAATAATGAGTGAAAGAATACACTCAGGCCTAACACAGTGGTACATGCTTGTAATCCCAGTTACATAGGAAGTATCAGTCAGAAAATCACTGTTCAAGGCCAGCCCTGACAAAAAGTGTAAATTCTCCCTGGAAAGTAACTAAAGCAAAAAAGGGTTCAGGATGTGGTTCAAGTGGTAGAATACTTTCCCAGCAAGCACAAGGCCCTGAGTTTCAACCCTATTACCACCACCACCACCACCACCCCCCCCCATACACACATACACATACACAAAAGAATTCTGATACGGTTTCTTTCATACAGAGTTTAACAACTGGTAAAACTGCATTGTATTTTTTTTATTACCTTCAAGTATTTGTACAAAGAGGTTTCAATTAACATGTTAGTTTGTGAGTTCATGCTTCTAGATCCTTGTTATCCCTTCCATCATTCTCTGGCTTGCATTGTTTAAGAATACATGCAGAGATTGTAAAACTATAGAAAATACAAAATTATCACAAAATTCACTGTAGTCATGGCTATAGGAGGGGATGTTGGGATTCGGGGAGTGTTGGTTTTGTATTATAGCCTGGGGGGGTGGTTACCTAAAAATTTGCTTTATGATTATTTTAAACCATACATATATATATATATATATATATATATATATATATATATATTTAATTCAGTTGTGAGACCTAAACTCTGGGCCTGGGCACTGTCCCTCAGCTCTTCAGCTCAAGGCTAGCGCTCTACCACTTGAGTTACAGCTCCACTCCACTTCTGGCTTTTTCTGCTTATGTGGTGGTGAGGAATCGAACCCAGGGCCTTATGCATGCAAGGCAAGCACTCTACCACTGAGCCACCTTCCCAGCCCCCAAATGTCTATTTTTGTGTATTTTTGTTAAGTATATTTTTGTGTACCTGTGACTGTTTCACAATAAAAATAAAGGATGCATGTATGTGAATCTCTTGTAGCCCTGAACAGTGCAGTGAATGGACAGGGCAGCCCCTTGGGCTTTCCCACGCCACACCATTTTGGGAACAGCACTGCAGAGTGCCACACTGCCTGGTGCACCACAGCTCTCTCTGCAGATGATGGAAGACAAAGACCGTGGTGGAACATAGGAAAGGAGACCAGCCGTTGATGCCTTACTTCAGCCAGGGAAGATGAATGGGAACAAGGGCTGGAGGAAACCATGGCCAACGCTTGTCCGAACTCCAAAACCTATGAAAGGGCAGGAGGACCTGTGCAAAAGACCAATGGGATGCTGCCCCACTTGGCTGCCACAGAGTTGCCAAGTTCCTAGCTCAGGCTTCCTGTTTCAAAGATGCCTCGTCCTGGCAGAATACAAGGAAGAAATGGTGTTCAGCTGTGGCTGATGATGCTGGAGCCTGTGAAATGCACAGAGAAGAGTCTCTAACTTACAACGGTTAACAAATGCTATTAAGTAAGCAAATGCTACAAAATGAGCAGGTAGTATGTGCTGTAAAGCCACATTAGCACACTGCGGGCCAGTTTGCCCACTGGGCCCCCTGCTCTTCTGGAAAGCCTGGTATTCAATCGCCCTCCTTTCTCTTCAGCCTCTCTCTTCAACCCCAACAGGTTTTGATTTTCAGAATTACATTGAAAAGAAACCCTATAGGAATAGCCACTAATCAAATCTAAATAAACTCAGAGGACTTTTAAAAATCCTACCTTAAGGTGCTACCAATGTGGCTTAGTGGTAGAGTGCTTATCTACTATGCTTGAAGCACTGGGTTCAATTCTTCAGTATCACATAAACAGAAGAAGTTGAAAGTGGTGCTGTGGCTCAAGTGCTAGCCTTGAGCAAAAGAAGCTCAGGAACAGAGCCCAGGCTCTGAGTTCAATCCCTAGGACTGGCGTGCCTCATGTATACATAAACACACACACACACACACACACACACACACACAAATGCTACCCTAAGATGATAGAATAGGAGTGGTAGCATATAACTAATTCCTGGCAGTAGAAGCGTCATAGTCTGAGGACTTTGCTCGCAAAAGCAAAAAAAACAAACAAAAAAAAAAACCTGAGAATATGGGCTCAAGTAGTAGAACACATACTTAGTAAGTGCCAAGCCTTCAGTTCAATACTCCATCCCACCAAAATCTTGTGTTTTTTTTTAAACAGAGATTTACAAAAGAAAAAAAGGTAAAGCAGATAAAGGTTGGAAGATTTGAAGGGCTATTTTCTATTATAGGTTAACTTGACAGCCTTTAAAAATAGCTAGTCCTCACCAGGCATCAGTGGCTCACGCCTATAATCCTAGCTACTCAGGAGGCTGAGATCTGAGGATCGAGGTTTAAAGCCAGCCCTGGCAGGGATATCCCTGAGACTTACCCAATTACCCACCGAGAAAACCAGAAATGATTCTATGGCTCAAGTTGTAGCGCTCTAGCCTTGAGCTGAAGACCTCAGGGCCAGCTCCTAGGCCCAGGGTTCAAGACTCATGACCAAAACAACAACAACAAAAAATAGTCCTTTTACTGATAGGTTAATTATATGATGAATGTTATATTCAAGGTTAATAAGCAGTGGGTGTAAATAAAATTTTATATATACCTCATAAAAAAAAGGAAAGATTCGTTCTTGTAGTCACGTATGATATTTCCTTCCTTTGTAATTAGTGAATGATGCTTCATGGGGTGTAGGTACTACATTTTGTTTATGGATGCATCTACTAACTGCATCTTTACCTTTTTTTTTTCTGTCAGTCGTGGGGCTTGAACTCTGGGCCTAGGCACTGTCTCTGAGTTCTTCAGCTCAAGGCTAGTGCTCTACTACTTAGAGCCACAATGCCACTTCTGGTGGTTAATTGAAGATTAGAGTCTCACAGACTTTCCTGCCTGGGCTGGCTTTGAACCTGGATCCTCAGATATCAGCCTCCTGAGTAGCTAGGATTACAGGCCTGTGCCAGTGGCACCTGGCTACATCTTTATATTTTTAAAAGCCAACATCTTTTTACCCTCTGAGCCTCAGCCTACTGGCTATGCAATCTGAAGAGGTGACAAAAATAGCCAGATGTGGTTGGAACAGGCAGTCATGGATGAGGGCAGGAAGTTGCAGTGTGCACGCCTGCATTGGCAGTCATTGTATTCAAGATGTCATGGTGACACTGTTGGCACAGCCTCCAGTCCTCAGGAAGCCTCAGGGTTGCTCATCTTTCTATGGTATTCTCATGATCTTTATTTAAGTCACCATTTGGGGCATAGAACTCCACATTGTAGCCCTTGTCAGTAGTATTGTTGCCCCTCAACAATCCTGGAAACCCACCCCCACACACACCCCAGGTAGCTGGCTGGGGGTAAGCACTCCGTGAATGTTAGATAGTATCATTTACTTTGTTATTTTGATTTGGGATGGACAATCAATCATTTATTTAATGAGCATGTACTATGTGCCAGAAACTGCTAAATACTGGAATACTACTGTGAACAAAGGGACCTGTCCCTGCCTGCCAGAGTTTCCAGACACTGGGGAAACTTGTTGACTGAATGATTGATAAACCCTGATTCAACTCCCTGGGATTAACACTTAGACAGCCAGACATCATTGGATTCCATTTGTGTGCTTAGCTCAGAACACACCCTCCCTACCCTCAGGTGCTGAAATGTAAATAGTACAGACACCACCATTCAAGTAAACACACTGAACTGACCTGGGATGGCAATCTAGCTCTGCCCCACACACCCTCTACCATTCTCAGAGCTCAGTTACTTTATCAGTGAAATGGGGTTGATGAGAAATGCGTCCCTCTGAGACAGGAGAAGAGCAAAGCAGGGTCATCCCACAGCATAAATCGACAGATTTATTTTAGTCTATGCAGCCTCTAGTGGCCTGGGGTTAAATGAGAGCACTTTCGTGATATGACCTGTAGTTAATGGTCAATAAGTGATAGCTATTGTTATACACAAGTTTGGGGGAAGCAGGAGTCTTAGGCAGGCCAGCAGTTTGGACTTGGTGTGGCCAGGCTTTGTTCTTCAAGGAAGGGCAGGGCTCTGAGAACTGCAGCCCGCAACGCAGGCAAAGGCCAGGAGGCAGGAACTCCCAAGGCATGTTTGGGAGAAGCAGGCTGGTAAGGGCAGTGGTCAACCAAGGAGGAACTTGCACTTCTCTGTAGGCTCAGACAAGCCATTGGAAGCTGGCTGTTGAACAGCACCGATGAGGCAACAGCAAATGGTTTAATTTGTCCAGCATTTTACCTTCCAGGCAGAGGTCAAAAAAGACTATCTCCATGGTTACACAGAGAAAGGACCAGGGGTCAGGACACAGGCAAAATGACTTCTCAGTGTTTGTAACCCCTGGCACTTTTCAAATATGTATGAGAATCAGTAAAAACTATATGTTATATACTATGTTATATACTATATAAAATTTGTCTCTGACTATAAAAGCAATTGTTAGCAATTGTAGAGGATACACCCTAAAGGTGTATGTGTGCCCAGTCCTGCCTGGGTCTTGAATTCAGGGCTTGAGCACTGACCTGAGCTTTTTTGCTCAAGGCTAGCACTCTACCACTTGGGCCACAGTTCCACTTCCGGCTTTTTGGTGGTTAATTGAAATAAGAATTTCATAGACTTTCCAGTCCAGGTTGACTTTTTAATCACAATGTTTAGATCTCAGCCTCTAGAAAAGCTAGGGTTACAAGCGTGAGCCACTGAAGCCTGGCTAGGATTTGCAAACTCTAGCAATATAAAGAAGAAAATATAATCACCTATAATCCGTCCAGAGGATCTCCCTACATTTCTACCATATATAATCCCCATCAAGTTACCTCTTTATATTTATGTTGGAATAGATTGTGTATAGTTTCAAGTTCTACCTTTCCCCTGTGAAATTGGGAGTGTTTTCTGAGAAGGAGGGTCTGTTTTTAATGCAGAACGAACTCCAGTAAACCTTTTCCTTAAAACAAAACACAGTACAAAGGCCGTCAGCAGTGGTTGGGAGGACATCCTGTGGGGACGAGGGGTGGTTCTCATGCTTCCGGTGTGAGCTGTGAGGTAGTGGCTATGGCTGAGTCCTCTGCTCTCCTGGTCCGGCTGCATCCTCTTGCCTCTATGGAGGAGACAGTTTTCATGAGTCTGCACTCACCCTTCCTTCCCGACGGGATACCGTGAGCATCCCCACCTCAGAAAGCATGTGAGGCTTGCAGTCATTACTGTTTACGAACAACAGCATCTGTCTGCATGGTGCAATGTCTTCCCGTGTCTCACCAGGCTCCTGTGCCCTCTGGGAAGATAAAGCCAAGTGCTGCGCTATAACCACTTCACACAGGCTGACACTGAGGCTGATGACAAGCTAATGGTTTAGAGCTGGCTGACATTTAACACTCTGTGACTTTTCCTTCATATGAGTCACACACACACACACACACACGCACACACACTTTAGATCTAGCTTTTCCTGAGCCAAACTGGATCCCTTAGGGAGGCCAAGGACTAAAAATGCTGTGTTTCCAGTGTATAGGTTCTGATTGGCTGACTGGGGTGGTGGGGGCGGGCAGTTAACGTCACAGAAGCTCATCCAGGACGATTCAGGTCTTTTCTACCTAGGCCCCTTCCCGTTTGCCTACTCCTCCTTATCATCATCTGTCCTAGAGTTTTCCCAGTCCTTGAAAGAGGGGAGCTGGGCAGAAAGTATGAACATGGAAGAGGCCCAAGGCAAGGCTTGATCCTTGCTGGCTGTGGATATTCAAGAAGCTGAGTTCTTCACACCCACATGTCCTGGGACCAGGGCCTCACCTGGCCTCAGAGGACTCAAAGTGTTAGGGAAACTCCAGAGTTAGAGAGGCAGCCAGCCATGTATTAGAGCCCCTCTTGTGTACCCCTAGCTCTCTTAACAGCTAGGGTTCACCTGGCCCCTTTGTCAGGGAGCAACAGCCTAACTTCATCCACTTATTCCCTTTCTCTTGTCCTTCTCTGGGCCTCAAGGTGAGGCTGCAGGTAGACATCTGTTCTTGGGCTACTTGGTGAGAACCTAAGAGATACAGGACCCCAGCTGGAAGAGCCTGTTGGCAAGGCAAGAAGGGCTAGACAAGGCCTTTGGACTTCAAATAGGCTTGACCAAATCCTAATCTGGGAAACTCTCCATTCCTAAACAGGCAGACAGCTAGGCCCTGGTGGCTCACACCTGTAATTCTAGCAACTCAGAAGGCTGAGATCTGAGGATCACCATTTGGAGCCAGCTCAGGCAGGAAAGTCCATGAGACTTTTATCTCCAGTTAATCATCAAAAAAAAACAAACAAACTAGAAATGGAGCTGTGGCTCAAGTGATGGAGCACTAGCCCTGAGCAAAAAAAAAAAAAAAAGCTCAGGGACATCACCAAGTCTGACACCAGAGAAGAAAGACAGTCTGTTGGACACTCAGTCCCCAAAGGCTTGTGCACCCCTTGCTCCAGTCTGCTCCAGATTATTCCAGCAGTCTCACAGCCAGCCCTTTGGATGCTAGAGAGATGGGGTGAGTGGGAAGGTCTGGAGGGGTGAGATGGTTCCCAACTGAGCATCATACGTGGAGACGAGATCTGTGTCTGTATAGTGTGGAGCTCCCAGCTATATGCTGGAGGAAGTGACAAAGTATGTTTACATCAGAGCATCTGTATTGCAGGTGGATTTCATAAATGTTTTTTATTTCCTCATCTGTATATCTTCCTCTTCGCACAATTAAGCAACTTTAAAAAAAAAGTGTATGTTTTTAATAAAAGTCATGAATGACTCAGCCTTTCAGCTCCAGCCCTATTGAGGAACACAAGCGGGCTGTGCTACATAACATGACACAGTGGCCTTTGACCTTGGGTACTGGTTGGCCACAGCCCATTCTATCTAAGGCTCCCCCCCCCCCATCCTGCTTCCTGAGCCCGAGGTCCAGGTGGATTTGATGGAGCAGGTGCTGAGGACAAGGTATTTATCACTTATCAGGCAGTCAGGGTATAAGGGTCAAATGTGAGTCTGGACTGAGCACGGGCCAGAATGTGGAGGGCAGCAGTTGCTTAACCCTAGGGTGTCTGGTTGGGGAGGTTAGGGACCCCACACAGCATGGGACTTGTGCTAGGTAGTGAGGCTTCACCTGTGAGATTGCACATTGCACATGCTTTAGAGGCTGAAAATGGAGTCCATTCATTTCCACCTAAGGCTTTGCTTGCCCCCCACCCCCAGAAAAGCTGAGAATAGAAGGTGTCCTGGGCCACAAACTCTGGCTGCTTGCTACTTTGTGTCAGAAGAGTGTCAGCAATCACCATGAGTGTCCTTGGAAAGTTCAATACCCCTCAGGCCCTCCTCTCTTTCCTCCCCACAATAACACACGGAATGCCAAGCTCTGCCTCTGTCCCAGTCCCCTGACATTTAGCATTTCCCCCATCTTTTGCTTGTTTGTTTTGAACTTTTTGTGTGTGCCAGTCCTGGGGCTTGAACTCGGCCTGGGTGCTGACCCTGAGTTTCTTTTGCTCAAGGCTAACACTCTACCACTTGAGCCACAGCTCCACTTAAGCTTTCTGTGATTAATAAGAGGTAACAACCTCAGGGACTTTCCTGTCCTTGCTGGCTTTGAACCTTGATCTTCAGATCTCAGCCTCCTAAGTAGCTAGGATTACAGATGTGAGCCACCAGTGCCCAGTTTCTTCCCCATCTTGACAAGCCCAGGAGGACTTGGAGAGGAGCCCTGGATGTCTAGAAGAGCCAGCCCCCACCCTGATAGGGCCAACCTAACAGGACTTCTGACTGCTCATGGTTTTAGAAAGAT